GTTGTTTTTGTAATCAGGCTGCTGTCTTCATTCCCCATGCCTCTGAACATTGTGGCATGGGACCAGTGCTTTTTTTCTTTAAAATGTTTATGGGTACTGTTATGTACTGAAGTTCTCACCCTGGGCCAGCAGGGGGATACTGTAGATAGTTATGCAAATGAAGAATCGAAAGTGACGTGCAGTGATTGGCTAGTTACAGAAAATGGTTACTGTTGCATTCTAGTGGAGCTCTATATAAGCAGGCTGACTGAGCTCCTCAGTTCAGTTCTGTTCCAGCTTACAAATAAAGAGCTGCTTTGGAAGAATCGCTGTGTCGTCTGATATGTTCGCCCACAACTTAACAGGTACTCTCATTTTCCTACTCATATTGAAAATACTGAACCTCAATGAGGCCAAACTTAGATTCACAAAATGTTTAGGGGTATGCGTACCCTCCAAGAAAAAAAGCACTTCATGGAACATTATAGTTTTATAGCTTATTGATTGCAAACAGCAATGCCAAGGAATATATAGAAGCCATCAATCACACATCTACTTTTATTACTGAAGCCAGTTTGTAATAGGAAATAAACTTTTCGAAGGAAGCAGCCCTCTGCAGGGAAGTTTTTAATGTTTGAGGGTTTTTTGTGTTTTAATACTTTGTTGGCAACTGCCCAGAGTGATATTAGCCAAACGTCACAGTCCTGAGTTTTGACGGAACAGTGGCTTAATAAGATAAGATGGTATGTTACAATAGCATCAACATTCACTGAAATAATTAAGAAAGAAAAAGCAACAGTTTGAGAATCTTTGGTTCCTTTTTATCAAGCATATGAAATGAGAGTGCAAAAATAGAGTTATTTAAGGCTTTTCACTGCTATAATGTAAAATCTATATTTCAATGAATCCATACCTTTAAAAAATAAATTATTGTATTTTTTAAATTTAATGAAGTTTAAATATACAATCAATTACATTACAAATTTATCAAAATATGTTTTATGTGTATCTGTAGCTGTGTGTTATATAATAAATAATTTAAAAATTAGTAGGCCATTCCTTTTAAGCAATTAACATACAACTGAAACTAACTGGCAGCAGATTCAGAACAAACTTAAGTACTTCTTCACATAATGGGTACGGTTAGTGGCTGAATCTCAATTAATTTAGCTGAAGTTCATTCCCACTGCAATCAATAGGACATTAGTTACCTGTTCCATTTATTTTAATATGACTGAAAGTCAACTGACTGGGGTGGAGGGCAATCGTAACCTTGGCCATTGCCCAATGATACTGATTGGAGTGGTCGGGGCAACACTGTGATCATAGACCTGTCATGCACAGTGGCTGGGGTGGGAGGTGCAGCGTTTGGGCCTGGACTGATCCAGATCCCATCACCTGATGGCTGTAGGATCAACTCTGCCCCTCCCTCTCCCTGCCCTTTGAATGCCTCACTGTGGGTCTACCACTGGTGGGAATCCTGCCAGCAGCAAAGCTCTGTGTATGTGTGTGGGGGGGGACACCTCTGCCCATCACAACCCACGACCCCCCCCCCAGCCTGGTGCAAAGATGTGTGTGGAGTGCTCCGACAGTCTGGCTCCAACCAGGTGTTTGTGATTCACTGCCATTACAATGTGATCATAGCCACTAAGTGACCTTTAAAAGGGGGATTAGACCAGGGGTCAGCAAACTTTTTCAGCAGGGGGCCAGTCCGCTGTCCCTCAGACCTTGGGGGGGGACAGACTATATTTTTTGGGGGAATTAATGAATTCCTATGCCCCACAAATAACCCAGAGATGCATTTTAAATAAAAGCACACATTTTACTCATGTAAAAACACGCTGATTCCCGGATCGTCCGCGGGTCAGATTTAGAAGGCAATTGGGCCAGATCCGGCCCCTGGGCCTTAGTTTGCCATTAGACAAATTAATGGAGGATAGTTTTATCACTGTTTTACGATGTCTGTAGCAGAGCTCCTGGTGAAACATTTTGGGCCAATGGACTGGGATTTTGAAGGGATAATGTGACGTATTATATGGGATGATAACTCTTTCTAGATAGATCCCTAGTTTTCTGTCTGGTCCTTTCCATAGATTCTTCTTTGAAAAGCGTATGTGGATTTTAAATCCTGTGGAACATTTCCCCTCACACGATACATTTAAAATGGTAATCCATGAGCACAAAATGCTATTTCGAAAGTGACTTTAGACAGACCTTTGTAGCAGCGTACTGGCTATGTTTGGAGATCACACCAGATCATAGCTTGCTGCTGTGTAGATGAACCTTGGCCTCATATGTTTCTCTTCCCACACCCCCTCTCCCAGAATGGCCACTATGAAATTGGAAGCATAGTTAGTTTTAATGGCAGTTCCTGGTTTCAGTGAAAGTACAAAATGCCAATACGTAGTTGAAAATGCAAGATAATAATAATAATAATAATAATAATAATAATAATAATAATTATTATTATTATTATTATTATTTATTTATTTATTTATTATTTATACCCCGCCCATCTGGCTGAGTTTCCCCAGCCACTCTGGGCGGCTCCCAATCAAGTATTAAAAACAATACAGCGTTAAATATTAAAAACTTCCCTGAACAGGGCTGCCTTCAGATGTCTTTTAAAAATAGGATAGCTACTTATTTCCTTCACATCTGAAGGGTGTTCCACAGGGTGGGCGCCACTACCGAGAAGGCCCTTTGCCTGGTTCCCTGTAACCTCACTTCTCGCAATGAGGGAACCGCCAGAAGGCCCTCGGAGCTGGACTTCAGTGTCCGGGCAGAACGATGGGGGTGGAGACGCTCCTTCAGGTATACAGAACTGAGGCTGTTTAGGGCTTTAAAGGGCAGCACCAACGCTTTGAATTGTGCCCGGAAACGTACTGGGAGCCAATGCAGATCTCTCAGGACCGGTGTTATGTGGTTCCGGCAGCCACTCCCAGTCTAGCTGCCACATTCTGGATTAATTGCAGTTTCTGGGTCACCTGCAAAGGTGAAGCGCGTTGCAGTAGTCCAAGCGCGAGATAACTAGTGCATGCACAACTCTGTCATGCAGATGTGTCCAAACTCTTCTAGAGGAAAGTGTTACATCTGAACCAGGTCACAGTGTTGAGTGTCAGACTATGAACTTCACGACCACACGTCAGAAAATCATGGTCATTCATTGGGTGACATCCCGAAAACTTTAATGTAGTTTTATCAAATTTGTCAAGTTAGAAAACAAATTGTCAATATAGCACTAAAACAAATGCATACTCAACTATTCCAAGCAGTTTTGGAATCTGCCCTAGTAATTTGTGCCAAACTGTGATGGCCTGGGATTCCGAGTCTGAGAGCGATCCGGAGGAATCCCAGCCGGCACAGGAGTCCCCGCCTCCAGGGCCGGCTGAACTGGGGCAAGGCCTAGATGCTGAGGAACCTCAAGAGCAGGCACCAGGTGAAACCATTCTGGCCCCAGAGGTGCTGGAAGACTCAGTGGCTACAGGTGAGCCTCCCCCGGGGCCCAGTAACCCTTCGGCCTCTCCTGATCTGCAGAGGCTTAGGGCAGAGAGGCGAAGGGAACTGGTGTCTCCCAGGAGGAGTGCTCACCTTAAGGCCAAGAGAGGCGGGGCTTCTGGGGGCCGGGACCGCCCCCGGCCTTAGAAGAAGATAAAGGTCAGTCAGCCCGGTCCCAGGTTGCGGGAGCAACGTCGTTGTGGAGTATCTGCTTTACCCAGTCCTTGATCTGCACTCCCAGTGTGCCTGTTCCTCGCCCGGCTTCCTGTTCCTGACTATCCGGTGTTCCTGTTCCTCGCCTGGACTCCTGCTTCAGCCCTACCAGTGTTCCTGTTCCTCGCCTGGACTCCTGCTTCTGCCCTACCAGTGTTCCTGTTCCTCGCCTGGACTCCTGCTTCTGCCCTACCAGTGTTCCTGTTCCTCACCTGGCTTCCTGCTTCTGCCCTACCAGCGTTCCTGTTACCCCGCCCGGCTCCCTGTCTCGGACCTCTCGTCTCATCTAGTGATCGTCTACCCTGCTAGAGACTCTGGACTGATCTTGGGCTACGGTAATAGTACCTTATCCCCCCTGGGACCAGCACAGTAACACTGTTTAAATTAAATTGGCTTACGTTGGGAATAAATCAGGTCATGTGTACACAAAGGAGACAAGCTTTTTAATATTTTAAATGTACTCTTGACACATTTTGGTTATAAAGGGGATAACTAAACCAAAACTGTGATCTTCCACCTGTGGAAAAATTGCTGGCTGCCCTCAACACACTTATTCGCATGAACGGTTAATACCATATGACTGCTTGATAGAAACTTAAAATACTCAGTTATCATGTGGTAATGTCTAGTAGCTTCAATGAAAATTAATTATAGTTGTGAACCTAAGCAGGCACACATTCCTCTCAAGACTCATGATATTGTATTGATTCCTGGCCAACTCATTAATAATCAACAAACTGAAAGAGTTTTTCCAGTGACGCTAGGGAGTTAGTGGTCCTTCTCCAGCAAGTCATGTTTCACTTGCTCATGAACTTGTTTTTGTGCATCAGCTTTATACAGTCATACCTCATGTTACGTTTGCTTCATGTTACGTTCTTTCACGTTATGTTCCACGGCGACCCGGAAGTACCGGAAAGGGTTACTTCCAGGTTTCGCCGCTCGTGAATGCGCACAAGCGCTAAATCGCACTTCATGCATGCGCACAAATGCCAAATCACATCGCACACCTGCACAGATACGGCGCTTCAGGTTGCGCTCTTTTCATGTTGTGAACGGGTCTCCGGAACGGATCCTGTTCGCAACCAGAGGTACCACTGTACACAACTTGAACTTTTCTGCTTCACAAGATAAGCCACGCCCGCTACACACACAGGAAACTGCTGTTGAGGAAAATACTGCAAATGGCTCTGTTGTGCACATGGATCTTTCTGCATACGTCTTTTAGTAAAGCCCCAATGTACTTGTGTGTAACCCATTAGATGTGCTTTTCCGGTACCTCGACAAGTAGGAAGAATGAAAGTACACGATGATCATAGTTCATGATGCTGTACACGATTTATTCCACATGGGCATAACCATGAGAAATCTAGAAGATTAACAGATATAGCAGTATTATTTAATTTCCGTCTCATCCTTCAATCCCCAAAGGAACCCGCCCCCCTGCAAAGCAGTTCACAGAAACGTAAGTACAATCAAAACAGTCAACCTGATTTAAATATGCATATTATGTGACTAACGCTATTGTTTATTGTCAGATTGCTTGGGTTTGCTACAGCCAAAGCACATTTTGGATACTAGTCCCGAGCTTCCAGTTTCCAAAGCTCTTATCTTTAGGTCTCGGTCGTGAGCCTGAGGACTGATACATCATTGTTTCTTTTGATTTATAAGTACCGGCTATAATATAGGTGACTTAATAATAAATCACGTTTACGGGTCGCAAGGAAACACGGGTCCCAGCCACAAACTCACTCTGGAATAGCCTTGTGATATTTATCAGGGCTACTCTGGCAAAACCAGCTTCAGAAAAACCAGACCTTGTTTTTCTTCCATTCTAGTTTAACAGCTAGAACAGATGAGCCCACGTGATGTATTTGTTCCCAGGGAGAAGTCTGCATACAGATGTGGAGCAGGGATAGTTTGAAGGCAGGATGACTGTTTATTCAGATGAAAGAAAGGCAACATGTACAGTGGTGAAAGGACGAGTTACAGAAAGAAAGCTGCAAAGAAAAGAACAAGTACCACTGGCTCTGGATGTTTTTCTGTCTCTAGCAGTAGCAAAGCTGTACAAATATATTTTAAAAAATAATTGTGCACAAGATAAAGAACTAATTTACACTGTACACGCCTTCATTTTGTATAAACATATCAACACTTTCACTTTGTATGCACACTGCATTTTTAGCTTATAATATTTAAATACATACAGTATTATGCCTCTCAGTTAAGGTGCAATTTATCAAAATGTATGCTAGATGTGATTTTGTTTGTTTGTTTCAGTTGTCTTTGGCACATATCCTGGCTTATTTACTGAATACAAAAGTGTAAGACCGAGTTTGTCTAATGCTACAGAAATTTTTATTTTTCTTGATAGCAATTAAGTGCATATTTTTCGGTTTAACACAAGCTTATTTACAAAAAAAGAAAAGAAAAGGTATTCTCTCTTAATTTTAGTCTGTGTTTCAAGTCAGGTAGCCGACAAATGATGTGCATTCGAAATAGTTTGCAATAATTTTCATTGCAGGAAAAAGTGCACCATTAAAATACCTGGTATAAGTATTAGATAAAATGTTTAACATTATGGAATGGTTTGATAAAAAAGCCACGCCGATGTAGCCGATATGAAAATATGTCTCCGCTATGCTATGAACACTTGTAAAATGCTAATATTTGTTCTTCACCATTCGAGGGCTGCTTTAAAGTTTGGGTTTTTCTTGTCATGAGGCCTATCATATTGGCCACTGCAAGCTTTCAGATTAAATTATAAAATGAAAGTAAGAAGCAGGCAAACTGAGACTCAGCTAACCACTAGCAATTATTCAGTGGGTATATTCTTGAAAGCATAAAATGTCGACAAGCTATGTCATGAATAGCTATGCGGTTTATTTTTATCTGTTTTCCCTGGAGCTGATAAATACTGGTAGCTCTGAAGTTACTTCTTGCCACTTCCAAAAGAGGACTAATAAATGATGAAAGCTAAATTATGAGAATTTCAATTTACAGCAAAGCTGTTATGATTGACTTAGCATTTGAAGTCCGGATATGTTCTTGCTATAAATTATGGTGTAAAAGAAAACATGAAAATGAAAGCTCTTTTGTAGTAATTTCCAATTTCCATACTATATAGTTTATTTTAAAAAAAATATACACATACTTTTTAAAAGTTCACACGTACTGAAGGACCAGTCTCATCTCCTTTCTCTAACAGTTAATTAGCTACCAGAATGAACATTTGGCACAGTGCTGATTTGCAGAGAAATGTCAGAGATGGAATTTCAAATAAGAATTCCTTTTAAAGTTATTTTTAAAAGAAGAGTCTTTGTTTTTCAAAAAGGAATTTCATGTGCAGAGTAGAGGAATGGGAACACCGCACTATGCTTCAGATATAAACCATATCCTCTGGTTTATTATCCCAACTTATCAGCATGATCGTTGCAAGCAGATACCTTGAATTCTCAAGAGATGGCTCTTTAAAAGAAAATACGTATTTGTGCAACTGGGATCAATCTGCCCACAATGATCAGATGTTTCAAAAACAAAGAGCTGAGGAAAATCCAGAGCCTCTGTTTCAAAGCAACACACTTATCCTTTCGGTTTGCTAAATGATTTCATGCATGGTGATGTTCTTCAGAGTGCCAGCACAGGTTAAGACCGTGGCCTGTTTCAGTGTAGGCCTCAGCTGTGTAGGGTTCCCTGACGTTGTGTATTTGTCAGGGAACATATCTATGCTGAGAATATACCTATCACTGAGGCTCCTGAAGAAATCAACACAACATGTTGGCCATCCCGTTGTGATATGGCCACGTTCTCAGCTGTGGGCAAAACTGAAATCTCCTTATAGCCTGCACAAGAAAAGGAACAGGACAACTGCGCTCTCTGTGTTGTGGCAGATCTGAGAAGGGGAGTTTTGTGAGACAGGATGTGTGTCTTCCTGTTTGCCTGTATGAATATAGGCAAAGAAGAAAAAATACAGCATGTGGGGTCTGAAGTGAGAGGGGCCCAGAATATGGCTCAACATAGGGCCTTCCCATGTCCTTTAATCCAGTGTGGCTCCCTTGTCAGTCAATTTCATTCAGAACTGTGATGTCTGGGTGAATGATATGGTGTCTGATTTATCAATAGCAAAAGCTCCATTCACATAAGATTTCTTGGCCTCTGTTTCCTCACTGCCATCCTTCGTTGCTTTGTCCAGGGCAAAAGGGTTCACTATGTTGACTTCAGCACCAACGTCCATAAGCTCCAGTTCCTTTTGCGAGAGCTTCTCCACAATTCCAGCGCCAAAGGCATCGCCGAGGACATTCACCATTGTTCTGAATCTATCCCTATGGAATAAACATTTTGGGTCAGTCCGGGCAAGTTGACTAGGTCCAATCTATTTTTACAAAGGCAAAAGCTATACTGCTTCTGCAAAGTGTTTCAGTTCGCAAGGCTGATTTTGTAATGAATGGCACAGTACCAGAACCCAAACAAAACGTGGGAAAGATCACATTCGAAAGCTGAGTTTTAAAAAAATATGAACTTTAAGCTCCATGGAACAAATGTTAACATTTGCGTTTCAAAAATTCAACGTGAACTTTAAGTTCAGAGTGAACTGAGTTTTCAAGTGGACCCCAGCAACTGGAAATTGTAGTCCCAAAACAGCTGGAGGGCCAAGCTTGGTGATCACTGACATAGCCCACGATCAGGGATGGTGGAAGTTGTGGATCCACCACAGGTTCTTCACCCTTTCTCTACATTTTCAAATTTGTTCAACTTTGAACTCTCTAAACCACACACTGGGCGGACGGATAAGTAATCCCCCCAGCAGTGCTGCAATTTGTATGTTGCACGTTTTGATACAAATAATAAGATGTACAGCAGATCTGCTCTCAAGTTAATGGTCTAGCACAGGCAACCTTTTAATACTACGCTGTCAGGTTTCCCATATGTTTTATTATGGATACAGTGGTACCTCAGGTTACATACGCTTCAGGTTACAGACTCCGCTAACCCAGAAATAGTACCTCGGGGTAAGAACTTTGCTTCAGGATGAGAACAGAAATCGCGCGGCGACAGCGCTGCCGCAGTAGGAGGCCCCATTAGCTAAAGTGGTGCTTCCGGTTAAGAACAGTTTCAGGTTAAGAACGGACCTCTGGAATGAATTAAGTTCTTAACCCGAGGTACCACTGTACTAGCATTACTGAGGTCACAGGTTTGAGAGACATTCATGGTTAGACACTTACAGAAGCCAGTCCACTGCTATTATGAGGGTAACATCTTCAGCAGGCAGTCCGACGGCACTCAGGACAATCACCATGGTAACTAGTCCAGCCTGGGGCACACCTGCAGCTCCGATGCTGGCTGCTGTTGCTGTGACACTACATCCCAAACCAAGAAAAGGCCATCAGATATGTTTCTGCTTCATTCAGTCTTGTGCAGTTATGGAAACACTTCTTGAAGTTTTTAAACCAGAGTTGTTATTTAAAAAAACATTCCCTACCATCCTAAAAAACGTTGACTTTATGGGACACTCCGACTGCTGAATGATTGTAAATTCAAGAAGTACTGGTAATCTTAAGGGATTTCTAAGGGATATACCAGTTGAGGTTGTTTTTTGTTATTGATCTGTGTCTTTTCTTGCCTCATAGAACACTGCAGCCATTTTAAGTTTTATTAGCGGTGGTGTCCAGAGGGAAGATATTTTAGCTGCCTTGAAGGAGGTGGGACAACATTCACAACAAGGTCTGCTGTTTGATATATTAAGATTAAATGGTTTTAAAACAGTGCATTTTATATTGCTATGAGGTATTTTTGGGTGTGTGTGCTCTAAATCCCCTCTAAATTCTTGGGTCTAAAAGTTAGAATTAATCCATGCTTGGAGGGCTAAACTGAAAAGCAGACTTTAAATAGCTGGACTCGGCTTTCCAAATTCAGGAAACCACCTGGAAGAGGAAACATCAAGGGGAAGAAAGCTAGTAAGAACCGAGTCATTTACCTACCCAGAAAGTCATTGGGAGGGCAAAGACTATTATGATTTATTCAGTTTATATACGCCCCTTGTCAAAGGTTCCCAGGGCGGTGTATAACATTAAAAACACATTACAGAACGTTAATGATAAAAACATAGTGAGAACATAGTAAAAAGCATAGTGACAAGACAGCCGAATAATAAAGTAATAATTCAGAGGAATATGGACGCCTCCTCCGGTTGTGTGTTAGTGGGCAGAGGCAAAAGGGGTTTAAGGGATGTAGGGTTTCAGTTTGGATGATGTAAGCAAGGAAAATCATTTGGAGAACCATGTGGGCTGGCTGGGACAGGCAGAGAGCTTGGCTGATTTCTCTGTTCTGAGACTCAAGCCTCTCCTGCTTATTGGAGAAGCAAGAGACTCTCTTGGGATGAAAATGCTCTGAACTTTCTCCATCTAGACCCAGGTTGTATATATGTGTAAATAAACCACATATCATAAAGGTGTCATAGTCTCCACTGTCCAAAAGGAAACACAGACCCTGGGAAGCACGCTTGGTACCCCTGGAATATTGCACTGCCTGGAGACAGGAGTGGTGTGTGACAAAAGGTAAAGGACCCCTGGACAATTAAGTCCAGTCAAAGGTGACTATGGGGTGTGGCGCTCATCTTGCTTTCAGGCCGAGGGAGCCGGCGTTTGTCCACAGACAGCTTTCCGGGTCACGTGGCCAGCTTGACTAAACTGCTACTGGCGCAATGGGACACCATGATGGAAACTAGAGCGCATGGAAACACCGTTTACCTTCCCGCCACAGTGGTACCTATTTATCTACTTGCGCTGGCGTGCTTTCGAACTGCAAGGTTGGCTGGAGCTGGGACAGGGCAGCGGGAGCTCACCCCGTTGCACGGATTCGAACCACTGACCTTCCGATCGGCAAGCCCAAGAGGCTCAGCGGTTTAGACCACAGTGCCAACCGCGTCCCTTGCTGTGTAACAATATCTACTGTGTAATAGGTATGCTCATCTGTAAATCCACAGAACACAGGGCTACGGCTGAAACGAGTCAGAATTAGGCTGCTCAGTTCATCCCTAAAGCACGGGTCAAATGCCAGTATCTGTGGGTATGTCAGAAAATCCGGTCTTTGTTCAGTTCCACAGCTGATTTAGCCCTTCACTGGGATGACCGATCTCACTGTTCTCTACACGTTTTCAGCGAGACGTCAGATCATGTTGCGGTTGGCCCACCTCTGTGTGCGTGAAGCATTCTGGACAACAAAGTCAGCAGTTACATTGCTTGGGAAAGAAGAACTGAAAAGCATGCAAGAGTACGATTCTTACCTAATGGTCACTATTTGGCCAATATCTAGTTCTAAGTCATTAAGTTGTGAAATAAAAACAGCAGCCACTGCTTCATAAAGGGCGGTACCATCCATGTTGATTGTAGCGCCTACCGGTAAAACAAATCGGGTAATTCTCTTGTCAACATGGTTTTTTTCTTCTGCACAGCGAAACGTGACAGGTAAAGTGGCTGAACTGTATCACACACATTTGGGGGGGGGGGAGAAAATAAAGAAAAGACTTTAAGAAGCATAATAGTAAAATGCCAATGTGCATGGCTATTAATCTGGCATGAGAACAATTTATGGGGCTACTGGAAATTAAGATGTAGACTTTAACGCGGCAAAACAGAGGGCAGATTTAATCATTTCTAAATTCATTTCTATTAATTCCAAGATGATTCGATATGAAGGGAAGATTTTTTTAAAATCAAAATTATCCTTACCTTGAGGAAATCATGAGTGCTGTCAAAAGTGCTTGAGCCATCCCCATGGCAAATTTATACGGGTTTTTCCGGACTATTATTAAGTACATGAGAGGCAGAATTACAATACTATGAATTGCAAGCCTGGGGAGAAAAAAGGGGGAGGGGAAATCACAGAATCACAGAACTGTAAAGTTGGAAGGATCCCACCTAGTCCAGCCCACTTGCAATGCAGAAATCACAGCTCCATTTTTGAAATTTAGTTCTGTTTTTAAAACTGTTCAAATTAATATGAAAGCCACTTCCGCCTTAAGGAGGAGGTGGGGTTGCGGGCTCTCACGGCCCCTCCACTTGCACAGGGGGAGGTGAGTCCCACTGAATTATCGTCCTTCATTGTGGCCCATCGAGCTTTTCTGTCCATATTGGCAATAGATCTCTAGACGTTCAGGCAACAGGTAACTCTCCCTTTCCCCACACACCCAGAGGTGCATGCAAAACAGCGGCCACTATGGCCCTGATCCCAAGGTGCTGCTTCCTAACATGCATGCATACTTCCTCCTGGTACCCCCCTTCTTTACCTTTCAGATATTACCTGACAATAAAGCATTAGGGAAGTGCTGTCAATGGGTTCCAAAACCTACCAGAAGCATAGCAAGCCAGCCAAGCTATTGCAGTTTTTGACTTGGAAAATTGCCCCCACAATATCTCATATATGTGACATACTTGTATATTTTGTTTGATATTGTTATATATTTGATGTATGATCTACTCATATGCATCAAGGTGCGACATATTGGGAAATTGTGTACATTTGAAAACGCTGGCAGCATTAAGGTAAATTCAACAGTGTAAATAAGTTTTGATGGGTGTAATAATGGAATACTGAATGGATTAGTTCAGGGGTCAGCAAACTTTTTCAGCAGGGGGCCAGTTTGCTGTCCCTCAGACCTTGTGGGGGGGCCTGACTATATTTTTTTTTGGGGGGATGACGAATTCCTATGCCCCACAAATAACCCAGAGATGCATTTTAAATAAAAGCACACATTCTTCTCATGTAAAAACACCAGGCAGGCCCCACAAATAACCCAGAGATGCATTTTAAATTAAAGGACACATTCTACTCATGTAAAAACACGCTGACTCAGGGACCATCGGCGGGCCGGATTTAGAGGGCGATTGGGCCGGATCCGGCCCCCGGGCCTTAGTTTGCCTACCCATGGTTTAGTTTATGTAAAATATGCGGGGATTTATGTTATGCAAAATGAACCCAGGGAAATAGAAAATGGAAGTCACTGATATTTTAAGGTTGTTTAAATGAATATTCTAAAATGTAAAACAGGAAATTTAATAAAAATTATGGGGGGAGGGGAGAATTCAAATCTCACATTGGCCACCATACTCCTTAGGTGACCACAGAATCGAAGTATGAGTTCCATTTATATGCATGTAACTCAGCTTGGAACCCTGTGCCTCCCCTCCTCCGCCTCATGTGGCCTCCCCCCCCCCCATTATATTGCCTGGGAGCTGACAATTGAAATAAAAATAACGAGTTTCTAATTCAGTGTCGTTCTGAAGCACAGTAAAATTAGAACTTCTATAAAACGAATGTCCTTTCATACCCAGTTATAGAAGAAACCGATCTATCGTATATAAATTAAAAATGGAAAGTAAATCAGTACATTTTTATTACGGTTCAAGGAATAACATACCCACTTAGAACAGTAGCCATGTAAAGACCCAGTTTGCGAAAAATCTCCCAGTCTTCAACTTCTATGATCTTTCCGGCAATCAAAAAAATAATACCCAACGGCATATACCTGGAATGCACAAAACGTCATAAAAAGTATTCCATGATCACTGTTATTTCATTGAGCTCGCTATAAAAACATGGTAAACAACAAATTTGTTCAACTTTTTTTTCATGCATATGACAATGAACGGAAAGCAAGTGGCTGAAATTATTTGCTTCTCAAGTTGTATTTATGAACCATTACATATTTTCGGTGTTGTAAAAAAAAAAAAAAGACATTAGCATGACTGGTACATTTTATGAACACCATAATTTGAGCTATTATGCAAAACATTATGCAAAACATGAAGTCATAGAATCATAGAGTCCAACCCCCTGTTTTGCAGGAATCTCAGCTAAATTATCCATGAGTCAATCAACATTGGACAGCTAAGAAAGGGAGTACTGCATTGTGTAGCTGGAATTCCTTTGCAAAACAAAAGAAATGCCCCTGTATAGAAGTGATCTTTCTTTCTTTCTTTCTTTCTTTCTTTCTTTCTTTCTTTCTTTCTTTCTTTCTTTCTAAAAGAAATTTAATTCTAGATTGCTTCTAAGGGAGTGCATTTTCTCAACTGCACTCCGTTGCTTTTTCGAAAAATAATAATTTTTAATTTTGCAAATTGCAATAGAATGCAGAACAAAAATAACAGAAGAAACAGTCACAGGTTTCACATGTGTCACTGTTACAGTATAGGGTTGGAAAGAAGTGGTAAACACTGAAATCAGGTAAGCAATAAGTAAAGCAAATATTTACTATTATAGCCCATCCAAAAACCATCATTGGTAGTTGGAGGTCATGATAAGGTTACCAGATTTTTTTCAATAAATCCGGGGACACGTGTCAACTTCAATGGATTTTGTATGGGGACTGATTTGTAAATCTGGAGACTGTCCCCAGGTAATAGGGGCATCTGGTAACCTTAGAAGCTCTGAAGAGATGTATTTTTGAAAGTTAGGAGCAGAAACCATGCTGTGTCATAGTTTTGGCAACAAGGGTTCAATTATATGAATACCAAAAATGCCGTCCCCAACCACCAGCGATTCCGTAACTTTGATAGCTGAATAAATAGCCTCTTTCGGGGGAGGGGGAAGAGGAAAAGCAAAAGAGGTGGGGAGGGAGAAAGAGCTTTCACAGCCAAATGCGTAATATTTTAAAACTCAAGGAATAAACCTGTTAATCACGTCGACTTTCTGAAAGAAGTTTTACGTACAGTGGTGCCTCGCAAGACGAAAAGAATCCGTTCCGCGAGTCTCTTCGTCTTGCGGTTTTTTCATCTTGCGAAGCAAGCCCATTAGCGGCTTAGCGGATTAGCGCTATTAGCGGCTTAGCGGGCTTAGCGGATCAGCTGATAAGCGGCTTAGCGGATCAGCTGATAAGCGGCTTAGCGGATCAGCTGTTAAGCAGCTTAGCGGATCAGCTGATAAGTGCCTTAGCGGCTTAGCGGATCAGCTGATAAGCGGCTTAGCGGCTTGGGAAAAAGGGGGGGGGGAGTAAAAAAACCCTGCAGGAACTCGCAAGACATTTTCGTCTTGCGAAGCAAGCCCATAGGAAATTCGTTTTGCGAAGCACCTCCAAAACAGAAAACCCTTTCGTCTAGCGGGTTTTCCGTCTTGCGAGGCATTCATCTTGCGGGGCACCACTGTAAATTACTTTTTTATTATCATCCTGAATTCAGTAACAAAACTTACGGGCAAGATATCATTCTACTTACCACATTATTATCTGAACTATATACATTGTGGCATCGTTCAGTGCATTGAAGAAGTCCATCAGCACTTTCCCCTTTTCTCCCATTTTCCCAATAACAATTCCGAAGACAAGGCAAAAGACTATCAGGCCAAGAACGTTAATACCATCGGAATACAAACCCACTATCTTGTATTCCTTGGTTATATTCTGCAGATTGAGAGTGAAGGAGAAAAGTTACCAATCAACAACAATGCCAAGAGGATGATATTGATGAACTGGGAGAAGAAAGATACAATTCCCTTTAATAAATGGATCGACAATATGATAACACTTGCAAATTATGAACACCTTACAGATGTAGACTTTGGTTGCATAAATATGACAATACAGTCGTACCTTGGAAGTCGAACAGCCTAGTTCTCGAACGTTTTGGCTCCGAACATCACAAACCCGGAAGTGACTGTTCTGATTTATGAACTATTTTTGGAAGCCGAACGTCTGACGGGGCTTCCAATTGGCTGTAGGAGCTTCCTGCAACCAATCAGAAGCTGCGCTTTGGTTTTCGAATGTTTTGGAAGTCGAACGGACTTCCGGAACAGATTCCATTCGACTTCCAAGGCACGGCTGTGTTTGGAATGAGTCTAGACAAAATGTAGTGAGCTATTCATATTCCCATATGTATTAGGATAATAATATCAGATTTATAAAAGAATGTATGGGTTCGGGTATTTTTCATATATATTCGTATATTGTGGGTTTCCCCCCTACATATTTTTGTGCCTTTTTATTTCTCTTTTTCTTTGCATCACTTTATTTCTTTAAACTGAAATCTTTTCAATAAAATATGAATACCAACAACACATTTTGTTTATGTGAAACTTAAGCAGCTTTCTCGTTCAGGAAACTCTAGAAACTTAAGCCTGTTTGGTGTTTATTGGTTAGTAAAGGTAAAGGGACCCCTGACCATTAGGTCCAGTCATGGCTGACTCTGGGGTTGTGATGCTCATCTCGCTTTATTGGCCGAGGGAGCTGGCATACAGCTTCTGGGTCATGTGGCCAGCATGACTAAGCCGCTTCTGGCGAACCAGAGCAGCGCACAGAAATGCCATTTACCTTCCCGCCAGAGCGGTACCTATTTATCTACTTGCACTTTGACTGCTTTTGAACTGCTAGGTTGGCAGGAGCAGGGACCGAACAACAGGAGCTCACCCTGTCGCGGGGATTCGAACTGCCGACCTTCTGATCGGCAAGTCCTAGGCTCTGTGGTTTAACCCACAGTGCCACCTGCGTCCCATTTATTGATTAGTTTGCTACTTTTTTCCTTGGGTTATAGCAGGCATAGGCAACCTTCGGCCCTCCAGATGTTTTGGACTACAATTCCCATCATCCCTGACCACTGGTCCTGTTAGCTAGGGATCATGCCTATGCCTGGGTTATAGTTTTGAAAGTATTGGTTTGTGTAGTGCTACTAAAAGGCTGCATGCGGAGCCTCTGGAGAACAAATTATCTTAAAGAATTCGACCACAAGCTTGGGTCTTTTAACAGTGTGGTCCAGTAGATCCTTTTCAATTCCTGTTATTAATTATCACATTAACAAGCAGAATTTTACTACCCTAACCCTTTCGTCATAATTTCAATAGTTTCAGTGCAATACAACAACCAGTAGTAATCATACCTTTGAAATCTCTGTTGGCAGTACAGTCGAGAGTGGGTCTGGTGTAGGAATAGTAGCATTTTTGTCTACTTCCGTTGTGATCGTTATTTCTACACGCTTGGTCTTATACTGAAAGTTAAGAAAACATACATTACATTCTTAGGATATAATGGATTGACAAGGAAACTATTTTTTAAACTTCTTTTCAGGGTGGAAGGTGTTTAGTAAGGCCTAGAATGCTGATACATACTATTTATGGTTTCAATATGTCAACAACGGCTGACATGCAGATGCATTATAATGTGTACATAGATAGAAATACCTAATATGATATTAGGAAATCATCATGAAGGGTTATGCTAGAACAAGAGCCAACATTGTATGGAATAAATGATTTGGTTTTCTTTATACCTACTGTACGGAAGTTAGCAAAAGGACAACGAAAATGGATTTTACGCTCTCTAATGGTAGCCAAGAGGCTGATACTGATGAACTGGAAGAATAAAGATATGTTCTCCTTTAATCAGTGGATTGATAATATGATAACACTTGCAACTGGCGAACGGATTGCGTACAGACATAGGCTCTGCTTGGATAAATACGACAATATTTGGAATGAATTTATACAAAATGCTGCAGACTATTAATATTTCTATCAGTATTAGGATAACAGTATCAAATTTATAAAAGCATGTATGGGTTAGGGTATTTTTTGTACATCTGCATATAGTTTTGTTCTTTTTCCTTTCTCCTTCTTTTTGTATCTACTGTGTTATATCTGATTTTTTTCAATAAAATATCTAAATAATAATAATAATAACAACGAGTTTGTTTGATGAAGTATTTGTTTAATGGAGGGTTTCCGAACTTAGGTCTCCACCTGTTTTTTTTGGACTACAGTTCCCATCATCCCTGACCACTGGTCCTGCTACCTAGGGATGATGGGAGATGTAGTCCTAAAACAGCTGGAGACCAAAGTTTGGGAAACTCTGGTTTCATGTTTCCCTTTTGGGGTTCATTGTATTTCACAAGGCTAGTTGCCTGTGTGAAACAGAGCAGAGGCAACTCCCCATTTACACAGGGGTTGTGTTCTGAGGCACCGCACGCATTGGCGGGACACACACAACCCCGTGTGCCAAAAAAACAGCAGTGGTTGCGAGCCTGCTGATTGCAAGCAAATGGGGAGTTGCCTGTGTAAATAACAACGACAAAGCACTGGTTGGTGGGGTGGTGTTGCTCACCTGGCTCCCTGACCCTGAGTATCCCTGCTGCTTACCAAGAGAGAGAGGCAGAAGGGCAAGGTGCAGGAAGCTCAGCAAAGCCAATCTGATGCTCCTGTGCTGAGCTCCTCGCTCGTTGCTCCTCCCCGTCCACCTCTTGGTAACCAGCAGCAACGCTTGCTGTTGGGAAGCCCTGCCTGCCCTGCCCTTCCAACTGCTGTTGTGTAAGACGGTAAGTGTGAGACTGTTCCAGAAAACTTTGCCAAGGGAATTAAGAGTGTTGGGAGAGGGGCAGTTAAGAGAACACAACATCCTCTCCGAAGAGCCACACCTGAGCCAGGGTCATGTCCTCGTGTTGGTTTATTTCTACATTCCTTATTCCTTCTACCTAACGCTTCTCCTCCTTCACCGTAAGTGCAAGCAATCAGAGAACCATAAAATTCCCTCTGATTCCTCACTTTCTTTTTCTGAGCTATAAAGATGACGCCTTGCGGGCCAATCCCAGTGCTGAGGAAGTTGCAGCCACGAAATATTTCTGCACAACTAGAAAAAGGGAACCACTTGATCTATGAAGGCCTTTGGTTTTGTATCTTAATGTCGCCCTGGAATGCAAGCTTTATATGTTGCTTTGGTTCTGAAAATTGTTGTCTAATACGTTAGTAATTGGAAAGGAAACCCTAATTTTTCCATGATGTTTTCATTAGGGTTGTGTTTTTTTGCACCCAAAATATCACAGTATCCTACAGCATAAGCACCACAATGTTGTTTTATGGAGGTGGAGAAATAAATGCAGAGTATGGTAAAGGTAAAGAGACACCTGACCATTAGGTCCAGTTGTGGCCGACTCTGGGGTTGCGGCGCTCATCTCGCTTTACTGGCCGAGGGAGCCGGCATACAGCTTCCGGGTCATGTGGCCAGCATGACTAAGCCGCTTCTGGCGAACCAGAGCAGTGCATGGAAACGCCGTTTACCTTCCCGCCGTTTATCTACTTGCACTTTGACGTGCTTTCGAACTGCTAGGTTGGCAGGAGCAGGGACCGAGCAACGGGAGCTCACTCCGTCGCGGGGATTCGAACCGCTGACCTTCTGATCGGCAAGTCCTAGGCTCTGTGGTTTAACCCACTGTGCCACCCAGAGAAGGGGTTAGTAAATACCAGAACAGGGGTTAGTAAATACCAAGATTGAACTTACCTGTTGGAAACAGGCCTGCACAAGGTTTTCTGGGAACATATTCCTGCAGAAGGATTTTAAGATCTTTTAATGATATTGCAATGTAACAATACAAAGTATATTCAAGAAGCAATAAGGAATGCTGGTGATAATGTTTTTTTCCCTCTCTCTCTCCACATATCCCAGGTTATATTATATCAAGGCTCAAAGTTCTAGGAAGATCTGTTCAAGGTTAAACACTTATGTAAGGCCTTAAAGAGTCAACGTTTTAACAAATGGGTTCACAACAGACTGGGATCTTTCTTCCATGCTATATTTGTCATTCAGTCGGGATGCAGTGCATGGGATACAGATATACAATCTTACTGGATAAAAATGTCCCACCCAGACTTTGTAACACTTTCTCCTTGTTGTGTTTAGTGATTATATCATTTTGGTTTTGCAGACAAATGGTTGCAAATACTGCATTGGGCAGGGGACACCTACCAGCTGAGTAAAGAAAAAGAAAAAGCTAGTATGAATTGCATATGCTACCCTCTGTGCTTTATCAAGAAAAGGAACTGCATCATTATGAACAAGTCCTTTATGTTGGTCAGAATCCAGCATTGCATGAGCAGATTTCCACTTGGGCACCTGGACTTCAACATCTCTGCTTCTCCCCACAAAATATGCTCCAGAGAAACCACAACACCTGGAGCAGGTGAATGAAAGCATTCAGAGGGCTCCACAGGGAGAAGAGGAATGTGAAGTCTTGTTGTAAAAACAGAGGTTTATTCTGCTTGCTCAAGGTCTGCAGACAGCACTGAATACAATCTATTGCTTAAAAGTTCTAGATGCTCAGGTTGTGAACGTGATCCGTGCGGGAGGCATGTTTACAACCCGCAGTGCCGTGTCTGTGCACACGCGGGTTGCGATTCGGCGCTTCTGCGCATGTGCAAAGCACAATTTAGTGTTTCTGCACATGTGCAAGCGCCGAAACCCGGAAGTAACCCGTTCTGGTACTTCCAGGTTCGGAGCGGTGCACAACCTGAAAACACACAACCTGAAGCATCTGTAACTCGAGGTATGACTGTACAAGCTTTTCCATCTTTCAGATACATATGGTTTGATAGCTTAAAACTTGAGACAGTGGCATTTATGGTGCAATCGGTTTAGCAACAGAACAGAATCTGAAAGCTCACCTAACCAAGTCTAACATAGCATCCACTGTGGAGACCTCAGGTGTACTGCCCATTCTGTCAATCTCCGCAGCATTCTGGGACACTCCTGGTTTGATAGCCACAACCAACACAACCCCTGTAATGGAGAAAAATAACATTCTGAACAGATGTAAATCTTGCACACAGCATTTTATTTTATTTTTACAAGGTGTACAATGGCTGTTTCCAGAGCACAGCAAATGACAGGCCAGGATTATGTCAGCTGTAGAATCAGTGATTTTTCCTTTCAAGTTTGGTGGAAAACTGAGTTCACCGTTACAGGATACAAAGTCACCACAAGATTGTGTTAAGGAATGCAGTTTAATGGGTTAATTCCTTTAGTGAGGAAACAGCTGACTCATTTCTGAGCTTCTGTGGCACACACAACAGAGAGTAAGCTTTATAGAAGGTGAAAGGATAAACAGACAACCCACCAAGTCATTCAGCCTATGATGAACCAAGGCAGCAGATGGACATAGGGGCCAAAGTTGCACATTCACAATAAGCGAAATGATGGTTTATGTGAATGTGCTGGATCCTAAGGAGGAGATTGCAGCTGCTTTGCTCCTGCCTGGTTCTTGTTTGCTCAGTAGTAATAATAATAATAATAATAATAATTTATTATTTATACCCCGCTCATCTGGCTGGGTTTCCCTAGCCACTCTGGACAGCTTCCGGCAGAATATTAAAATACAGTGGTGCCCCGCAAGACGAATGCCTCGCAAGACGGAAAACCCGCTAGACAAAAGGGTTTTCCGTTGCGGGGGCACTTCGCAAGACGAATTTCCCTATGGGCTTGCTTCGCAAGACCAAAACGTCTTGCGAGTCTCGCCATTCCCCCCTGCTTCCCCCCCCCTTTTTCAAAGCCGCTAAGCCACTAATAGCCTTTTAGCAGCTTAGCCGGTAATCCTTTAATAGCCGCTAAGCCGTTAAATCGCTAATAGCGCTAATCCTTTTAGCCGCTAATGGGGTTGCTTCACAAGACGAAAAAACCGCTAGACGAAGAGAATCGCGGAACGGATTCTTTTCGTCTTGCGAGGCACCACTGTACAAGAATTCATCAAATATTAAAAGCTTCCCTAAACAGTACAGGTAACGGTACAGGTACAGGTAATCCCATGATTAAGCATTATAATTGTTGTTAAGACAATCCTGTATGCCTATGAAATCACATATCTGGAATGTAGCATGGAGGGGGAAAAAACATCCTACTCCATGAGAAGGACTCTAGATGTAACAGTTTATCCAAACATGCTCTTTCTAAAAAATCTGGGTGAGGTGAAAAATGACTGTTTACTTCTGATGTGCATTTAAAATAAAAACAAAACATCATTGTACAATGCAAATAAATTTAAGGATTATAAAGATTCTAGGATTACCTAGGATTACGGCTAAAGCTGTAGTGAAGAAGTAGTAAACAACTGCCCGCAAGCCAATCTTTCCAGAAATGCCGGAGTCCAAAGCAGCAACACCTGGGGATATATGGAAAATAATGAGATTCTAGTTCATAAACATTTGTAAATAAATGCAGTTCATGTCCACTTGCAGAAAAAGCTTTTGATACACACGAAGGGCTGTACGTAGTTCAGTGACAGAACAGTCATTTCACATGCGGAGGGTCCCAATCCCGGGCATCTCAAGGTACGACTGGCAATGTGCCCTGCCTGAAACCCTGGGTAGATGCTGACCGCCAATGGAGACAATAGTGAGCTAAATGCACTAATCATGGTTTGATTTGGTATAAGATGACTTCCTGTGCTGTTCATATGAAATGCCTACTGACATAGTAGAGTTAAGGGAACCTCCAAGACAGTGTGGAAGGGGCGCAGGGGGTTGCAGAAGGAAGGGGAAATTGGTTGAAACCAATTGTTAGTAGACACTTCTGTTTCATCAACCAGAATGGCAGCATTACCCTCTGTTTGCAACAGCTGTCAACCAGATTTCTGGAATCTCACAAGCATGGCATCAAGGTGTTGGTTCTCATCTGTCGCCCCACCTTCAGATTGGTTAATCAAAGATATACCGTATTTACTCGAGTCTAATGTGCCATCGAATTTAATGCACACCTCAATTTTCAGAACCTGGAAACCAAAAAATGTATTTGCTGGCAGATGTAACTGTGACATCGAATCTAATGCGCACCTTAATTTTTGCAAAGTAATTTGGCTAAAAAAGGTGAAAATTAGATTCAAGTAAATATGGTATTACCCTGAACATACAGGTCTCATTGGGTCATTGTGGCTGATAGCCAACATCCTATCCTGATAATGTATCTGTTTGTGCCATTTTATTCTATGTCATACATGCCACCTTTTTAACTTGCACAGGAAAATCTAACTGCTTTTAAAAGTGACCCAGTGGCATGGGAAATTTATTTCATGAGATGGATGTTAGCCTGTCTTTTTATCTAATAAAACAAACTAGTCAGTTTTAGAAATAAGACATCATTTCAGAATTTCAGACAGGAACATAGTACAGAGATACCTCTGGTTATGAACTTAATTCATTCCGGAGGTCCGTTCTTAACCTGAAACTGTTCTTAACCTGAGGCACCACTTTAGCTAATGGGGCCTCCTGCTGCCACCGCGCCGAGGTGTTTGTAAGCCGAGGTACCACTGTACAATGACAGCTAGGAGGCTTTGCCTCTGAAACGTATTGGTTAAAAATACAGTGGTACCTTGGGTTACAGATGCTTCAGGTTACAGACGCTTCAGGTTACAGACTCCGCTAACCCAGAAATAGTACCTCCGGTTAATAATAATAATGATAATAATAATAATATCTTTATTGTCATTAGCCCCTCTCGGGGACAACGAAATTACTTTGCTTCAGGATGAGAACAGAAATCGTGGTTTGGTGGTGCGGCGGCAGCGGGAGGCCCCATTAGCTAAAGTGGTGCTTCAGGTTAAGAACTGTTTCAAGTTAAGAACAGACCTCCGGAATGAATTAAGTACTTAACCTGAGGTACCACTGTAGATGGAAAAGTAAGGGGAGTGGTAAGATACAGAGAAACCTTGTTTGGGGAGTTTCTAATCTACAACCATACATTCCAGAAATATATGAATAAATGGTGCATTAATCATTTTGTGCTTTATGAGCAATTAGGTTAAAAAAAAAACCCTCACTTTCTACTTGTCATTTTTTTAAAAAAATACAACATTGCAAATTATATACCCCTCACAATGAAAAAAATACAAATCAGAAATGGAACATGAAAGCTCATGAGGTTTGTTTGTTGGTAACGCATGCCTATTTTCAGGGAACTATATTACATGTGGATCTGAAGATTGGAGCTATAGCTTTCAAGTTACTAGGCAAGCATGCTTAAGCAGAACAAAGTGAAGGACAGAAAAAATACCACAAAAGAAGAGAGTGCAGCAATCGCAAAAGAAATGAAATTAAAAGAAAGAGACAATAAGGAGCAACATAAGAACCCTTTTAAAGGGTCAGCATTCTCATAAAATCCTCCATCATTTCCATGAAGAAGGACTTGTGAATCACAGACTTATATTATGCTCAAAGAGACACTTATTGTTTTAAAAAAAAACACCTCCCTCTTCCACTTAATAATAATTCTGTTAAGAAATGTTCTTGGAACAGAAGTCAAGAAGGAAGTACTTCTGTCTATTTGTTAATGCTAAGAAATTTCATTGCTCAGCAACACAGATAAAGCTTCTTAAAAAACATACAAAATCAAGCAAACCTTGGGACAGTGTTCAAATTTCACAAGGTTTTCCAGATAGGGAAAAGCTGCAACAAGCTCAATTTAATAAGCAAGGTCTGCATTACATACCAATCACATACATTCATAGTTAAGATCTTTCGCTAAAAAAATTCCCAGCATTTCAGTGGTTTTCAGAGAGATAAGACTCTGAAGACCTATTCCTATGGACAAATAACCGAAGGACAGAGGATCGATCCATAGCTCCATTGTAAGGAGATCTTATCACTTGATCATGTTGGCGCTAGGCACTCTGGCAGAGAAGCTGTGTTTGAATTGCTGGGCCAGTACAATCTCACAGCCCTTCTTCTATACAAAAGGACAAATATGCAGTTATGGTAGGAGCTCCTCTACCTCCATTCTTCAGTGTCCTGGCTGGTTTGGTCCTACATCCCCTTAACTATAACCAGTACAAATTTGTATCACTCTCTCTTTTTAAAAAAATAAAATTTTTTTTTTTTAAAAAGTTTTTATTATTAAAATAATTCAGCATTAATACACACATATTGCGAATATACAAGCATACAAACATACATTTCATACAATCCTTAAAAATGTTCAAACATACCTACACTCAATCCCACAGATAATTCCTTTTTCCATCGCCATCCACAACCCCTCACCCCACCTTTGTGTTAGACTTCCAATCTGCTCTATTGCAATTTCTTTCCACTTCTATTACTTTCTTTCACACACCTTTAATCTAATTTCATGCTTCTTTTTCTATTACACATTGTTATCCATCTTATTTACTATTTCAGTAGTATTTAAAACGGAACTTGTTTAATAGGAGTTCTGATTTTTCAATACGGTTTTGCAAGTATCCTTTAAACACCTTCCAGTCCCTGTATCACTCTCAATAATTCCTTTAAGGTACAACGACCCAAGTATTACACAACGGGGATTGGAGAGGCAGTGGTGGAGGAAGGGGGGTGCGATGGGGGCGGGCCGCCCCGGGTGTCACCACGGGGTATGTGTGACAAAATGCTGGGCGGCACTAAGGCCTGCAGCGCCCAAGCCATGTGTCTCTCCTGGGAGTGACACGGTGGCTTGAGCGCCCGCAGGCTCTACGCTACCCTAAACGGCCCACCCACCACCTCCCCCTCAGCTGTAGGGCAGCTGAGTGGGAGGGGCAGGCAGACTCCAGAGGCCCCATGGAGCATCCTGTCCCACCTTGTGGGCGGGTGGCCCCGCCCCAGGGCCCAGGGCATGCGCGCTGCCCCAGGCGCCTGATCGGCTTGCTCCGCTACTGTGGAGAGAATCCTGTCATTTCCTTGCACCTCAAGATCAACATAATTGCCCTGGTGCAGCCATGTGGTAGCTGCCAGTATAGTGTGTTAATGGCTTATCCTGCACTGTTGCCAGAATTGTGACCGTGTCCCAGTACAAAGCTGTAGAGCTCTGTTCTATGTTCTTTATGGGGCGGTGCCTCGGCACATTGACTTCTACTGCCATGTGTCAGCATTTCAGTGTTTTAAAGATAAAGAGACCCCTGACCATTAGGTCCAGTCACAGACGACTCTGGGGTTACGGCGCTCATCTCGCTTTATTGGCTGAGGGAGCCGGCGTACAGTTTCCGGGTCATGTGGCCAGCATGACTAAGCTGCTTCTGGCGAACCAGAGCAGCGCACGGAAACGCCATTTACCTTCCCACCAGAGCAGTACCTATTTATCTACTTGCACTTTGACATGCTTTCAAACTGCTAGGTTGTCAGGAGCAGGGACCGAGCAATGGGAGCTCACCCTGTCGCGGGGATTCGAACCGCTGACCTTCTGATTGGCAAGCCCAAGAGGCTCAGTGGTTTGGACCAAAGTGCCACCCACGTCCCTTCAGTGTTTTAAAGGTCCCACTAAATTACTAAGATGGAGATCCGAAACCAGATTTCAATTGAGCAAGGCTTCCATTCTGAATGATGTTGCGAGATAATAAGATATGTGTGCCTCTGCACATGTGCAGAATTCCTTCTCTGCACAAAGTGACCAGAGTTAGTCCCTCAAAACACCTGATATTAGGGAGAAGATCAAAGGGTGTGCCTTTCAGGCAGGGTTGAACTCAAAGCAGCTCTCTTTCAGAAATTAGCCACTGATGAAATGTGAAAGTCATCACTGAGTGTGAATCAGCAGTACTCCTCCTCCCTTTCTCAGAGCTTCTAGCAAGGCCTGAACAAGTCACCTAGCTATTAGAGGGAAACTGACAGAATCTATTTCTTCCTCCATTCCATTTAGCCCACACAATAAATTGGTCATTAAAGAGGATCAGCAAAAAAGCCTGGCCTGTTTTAACTGCCTGTGCCAACACTGCTCTATTTGATGATCAAACCATAAATCCTCTCTCTACAGAGATTGATTTCATACTGCATACTTGGCCAGTTCCCGAGGCAGACAATAGGTGCTTGTTGTGCTTGCACGAGATATAGACTGCGGAGACAAAATACATGACCTCAAGCACACATGCCACGCTTTTGAAGAGTGTGGTTACTACTTAACCAAGCGCGATCAAACATTAAAATGAGCTCTGCTGGAAGAGCACGTGCATTAAGAACTGATTCACACAACCACTTCAGTGTACAGTTCGGCAAAGCAGGTGGCTACGTATAATGTGCTTGTGCTTTGTGAATGTGTCAGCAGAATGATGTGAATGATCTGGAATTCAAAAGCAGCCTGCACACAAACCAGGCTGCACGTGATGTGTAACTGATCAACTCACATAACCTAATATGAGGGGAAAATTCTAGTTTGCCTACATTACAGAACAATCACATTACCATCTCTGAAAACTGCACCACAACCACCTTGCAAATTTCAGACTAAGGCAATCATTGTCTTCCCAGAAGATTGTGAGGATTTCACATGTCTTCTATGACGCACGACCCATTTCCTCCTTTAACTCTCATCTGATGACTGTCAGAACAAGAGGGAATCTTGTCTTACAGAAGGATTTGTGAGGGCACCTGGCTTGATAGTAGTGCATATGAAAGTATCTAGAGGTCTTAGTGGACCACAAGCTTAACATGAGTAAACAGTGTGATGCAGCACCAAAAAAGAAAAGAAAAGCTAATGCAATTCTAGACTGCATCAAGAGAAGTCTAGTGTCCAGATCAAGGGCCACCAAAACTAAAAAACTGAAGGAATGACCGCCGGATGTGGAGCACACTTCCACCCACAGACAAGCCACAGCTGTCTGAACATCATGCCCTCTATCTAACCTTTGGATTTCTCAGTGGTCTGCCGTGCTCTGTCTGTGACCTTTGTCTCCTTCACTATACATTGTTCAAGGGGAAAATGACGCGGTGGAAACAGGTGCCAAAATAACTTGGTACCACCCCACGATCGCGTGATTGGAAGATGTGTAAAGGACGCAGTCCAAAATGTATCCAATTGGTTTTGCATATGTGCTAATAAAAAGAGCCTCGGCAGAGCTAGCTGGCAGCTTGCTTATGCACAACTCACCTGCATTACCAACTCCTGCCTCATGTCCTTCACTTCACCCAACTCTACAGTTTTGTGATTCTTTGATTGTTAAGTTCAGAATTTGAGGGACATGGGTGGCGCTGTGGTCTAAACCACCGAGCCTCTTGGGCTTGCTGATCAGAAGGTCGGCGGTTCGAATCTGCGCGACGGGATGAGCTCCCGTTGCTCTGTCCCAGCTCCTGCCAACCTAGCAGTTCGAAAGCATGCCAGTGCAAGTAGATAAATAGGTACAGCTGCAGCAGGAAGGTAAATGGTGTTTCCGTACACTTTGGCACTCGTCACAGTCCTCCGTGCGCCAGTAGCGGTTTAGTCATGCTGGCCACATGACCCAGAATGCTGTCTGCGGACAAACACCGGCTCCCTCAGCCTAAAAGCGAGATGAGCACCGCAACCTGATAGTCACCTTTGATTGGACTTAACCGTCCAGGGGTCCTTTTACCTTTCAGCTGTCCTAATTAGCTTGAAAAGTTGAGTACTCCATTTAGCACCAGTCTTTGTCCTGCTTGGCAAACAATGCCCTTCATCACAGTCATTTCCTTCCACTTCACGCCAAGGTAAAGGGACCCCTGACCGTTAGGTCCAGTCGTGACCTACTCTGGGGTTGTGGCGCTCATCTCACTTTATTGGCCGAGGGAGCCAGCGTACAGCTTCTGGGTCATGTGGCCAGCATGACTAAGCCGCTTCTGGCAAACCAGAGCAGCGCACAGAAACACCGTTTACCTTCCTGCTGGAGTGGTACCTATTTATCTACTTGCACTTTTACGTGCTTTTGAACTGCTAGGTTGGCAGGAGCAGGGACAGAGCAACGGGAACTCACCCTGTTGCAGGGATTTGAGCCGCCGACCTTCTGATTGGCAAGTCCTAGGCTCTGTGGTTTAACCCACAGCGCCACCTGCGTCCCGGAGCTCTAAAATGTATTCACTTCTCAAAGGTTTGTTGTTACTCTGAAACAGCACAAGACATCTGCTTTCCACTTGGAAGGAACAACACTCCCAGCTCTTCCTTCCAGAAGCAAAACCAGAGTTTTGCTTGGTACATACAAGATAACAGCACTGGTGGCCATGTGTGTCTCCTTTGGAGGGTATTTTCTAACTGGGGAGCCATGTCTGACAAGGTCCTCTCTCTGACCACCCCACCTTAGGCAAGGAGTTTGCGTGAAGGAGGATCTCATAAGATGATTTAGAGGATGGGCAAATTGACAGGGGATTAGGTACTCCTCCCCTCACCCCTGGGAATCCAATTTGGGAGGTTATCAGAGCATGGTTAGGCTATCCCTGTTGAGAACTGGTTGCAGTTGGTGAAGCAGCTGCAATGTAACTGGGAAAAGACAAGAGCCCTCAGAAGAAACCCTGAGCTGAGAACCTTCTCTACAGTTGTGTAAATTTCAAAGTTTGAGCTTCCTAAAACCTGTTAAGGAACAATAATCTAGAAATAGGAGGTGAAGAAAATGCTTTGATATTACAGGGAACAAGGCAGAGGGCCTTCTTGGTAGTGGCACTCACCCTGTGGAACGGCCTCCCATCAGATGTCAAGGAGATAAACAACTATCTGACTTTTAGAAGATATCTGAAGGCAACCCTGTTTAGGGAAGTTTTTAATGTTTGATGTTTTATTGTGTTTTTAATATTCTGTTGGGAGCCGCCCAGACTGTCTGGGGAAACCCAGCCAGATGGGCGGGGGACAAATAATAAATAATAAATTATTATTACATTATATTCTTAAAATAGCATCAGTGTAAGGCTTGAGAAATGTTACGTTTGAAAGTCGTGGAAGTAAAGTTTTAAATGCTTAATGCTATTTTTTAACCAAACAGATTTTATTTACAGAAATAAGAATATACATATACATATATATATATATTTGGTCTTACCTGTTATCATACTTGATATAATTAATGGCAATATGATTAGCTTGAGCATCCTCATCAGAACTTCTCCCGGAAAGGCAAAGTAAAATTTATCCAGATTGGAGAGATTTCCATATTCCCTAACGGCGACACCCAGTCCAATGCCTAAGAGGTAAGAGTGAAATACAAAACCAGATTTAGTATTTGGGAGGGGGGAGGAGGAATGAAATCATGTTTTGAATATAATTTTAATCAGCATAAAGCAAATTATGACAGTGCTGGAAATGTTTGTTCTTCACAAGTACAGTGGTACCTCGGGTTACAAACGCTTCGGGTTACAAACTCCGCTAGTACCTCTCGGGTTGAGAACTTTGCCTCAGGATGAGAATGGAAATCGTGTGGTGGCAGTGCAGTGGCAGCAGGAGGCCCCATTAACTAAAGTGGTACCTCAGGTTAAGAACGGTTTCGGGTGAAGAACGGACCTCCAGAACGAATTAAGTTCGTAACCCGAGGTACCACTGTATGTTATTCAAAGATGGCAGAAGGTTCCTTCAGGTGTACGGGCCTGTGAGGCAACTCAACCATAGGAGCATTCTACCTGTTGCTGTTCTCACTGACTCATGCCTCACCTTGGAGCATGCTCAAAAGTTACACCTAGCCACCAATCTCATGCTTTAAAACCACCAGCGTCTCCTGAAGCTGCCCCATTGTTCCAAGCCATCAAATATGTTTTCTGCTTGTGTCTATGCAACATAAAGTTTGTAAACGGAGCAGTCTGCTTATATGCACAAAAATATAAAGAAAAGGAAATGAGTTGGGCTTCAGTTCTCTATGCTTTTGCTCTGGAGAGACATTTTCTCAAGAATGTTTCAGCCCAAACGTGAAGCTTTCAGATGAAGCCATCTGTCATCTGCCTTGGATAAAGAAAGACATATTCTTTCTTTCAGCGCTCTTAACTCGTTGACATGCTAAATTTATTTTGTTTTAATGAAGTACGTTGTGCTACATGATGAAAAGGAAGCAACACAAAGCGTCTCAGTTGTTTAAGGAAGCGGTCTAGTGGGTGGTGACATTCTGTGCGATTTATCTTCCTCAGTATCACAGCAGGAATAAACTGAATCCTCTCCTTACATTCCCAGACTATCATACTTTACTCAGAATGTCTGGTCTGCACATAGTAAATTTCAAATTATTATTTTTGTATTTGCACATATAGCTAAAGGAAACAAATGTATATGAATACATGTTGGATGGTAGTTTCATAATAAACCTTTTGGAATAGCTGGCCATATGTTAACCAGGTTTTCTACGCACAAATTCATTCCTAAAGTTGAGTCACCCTGTTTTATAAGCACTTGCAGTCAGTCCAGAGAAAGGAAAGCAATGTCAAAAATATAACTGAAAACACTAAATGATACCTTGAGTGAAAATAATTTTCACACAAGGAGTTTCTCTTCATATTCTAGAGTGGATTTTGTTTTCTGATTATTGCTCTTAGCATAGTTATAGGCACATTATCTCACACATGGCATAGCACGGTAGTTTTCAAACATTCTACCTTGTGAAAACACTTTTAACCAAATTATTTACATTGATCAGTTTCATTTGTGGTACACAGTTTGTTCTAGTCTTTAGGATTTTTAAAAACTGAAAATCATTGTTTTTGAATAATTTTTATGTAAACTTCTTAGACCTTTTTATTACATTTGGTTTTGTGGGGTATAGACCTGATCTCTTGGGAGTATAGGCTTGGTTTAAATGGAGACTGTGATGTGCAGCAGATGCAAAGCTCTCCTGTAGCTGGAAGAAGAAGAAGAGTTTGGATTTGATATTCCGCTTTATCACTACCCGAAGGAGTCAAAGCGGCTAACATTCTCCTTTCCCTTCCTCCCCCACAACAAACACTCTGTGAGGTGAGTGGGGCTGAGAGACTTCAGAGAAGTGTGACTAGCCCAAGGTCACCCAGCAGCTGCATGTGGAGGAGCGGGGAATCGAACCCAGTTCACCAGATTACGAGTCTACTGCTCTTAACCACTACACCACACTGGAGATGGGATATTTAAGCTCCTTTAAATCTGTAGTGAAGACACCCCAGGCAGGGGTGGAGGAAGGGGTGTGGGTTGGTCCACCCCAGGTGTCACCACTGAGGGGGAGGACAAAATGTCGGGCGGCACTCACTGCGGGGCCTGCAGCGCGCCCGAGCCACACGTCTCTTCTGGGAGTGACGCTGTGACTTGGGCAGCGCAGGTCCGCCTGCTGCATCCCTCCCAGCTGTAGGGCGGCTGAGTGGGAGGAGTCAGGCAGATTCCGGAGGTCCCGCGGTGCACCCCGCCCCTATGGGAGGCTGGCGCAGCCCCTGGGTGTGCCGCCCCAGGAGCCCAAGCGGCTTCCTCCACCGCTGACCCCAGGGAATACAGCTGCCAGTAAACAACTAACCCGTTAGCCCAGAAGTCGCAAGAACTGTCAGCATTTTCGTTCTCTCCCGTTGCTGGATGTGTTATTGTTACATCACATGTCTGTGTTTACATTCTGTGCTTGGAAAGTGTGGGCAACGGAAGCCAGTTCTATCTCTTCCGTTGGATTGTACTTTTGTACTTTCTCTCTCTCTCTTGGAGAAGATGTGAGAGGACACCATGGTTGCTTTGTCCTGTAAAGGTAAAGGGCCCCCTGACCATTAGGTCCAGTTGTGACCGACTCTGGGGTTGCGGCACTCATCTCACTTTATTAGCCGAGGGAGCCGGCGTACAGCTTCCGGGTCATGTGGCCAGCATGACTAAGCCGCTTCTGGCGAACCAGAGCAGCGCATGGAAACGCTGTTTACCTTCCCGCCGGAGCGGTACCTATTTATCTACTTGCACTTCGACGTGCTTTCGAACTGCTAGGTTGGCAGGAGCAGGGACCGAGCAATGGGAGCTCACCCCGTCATGGGGATTTGAACCGCCAATCTCCTGATCGGCAAGTCCTAGGCTCTGTGGTTTAACCCACAGCGCCACCCGCATCACTGCTTTGTCCTGTATAATAAATTACTTAGACCTCACACCTCATAGCCTGAGCTTCCAGCTTTACTCTGCTGTTTGAGTGTGCATATATCTTCGGATACGTGTTGCTGCTGCGCACCGGGACTGCAGAGTTATGAGCATCCCGGGTTGCGCTCCAGAGGACGATGCCCGGAGAGGTCTGTCTCAGTGAGGGTGCTGTGCGATGCCCCCCCCCGTGTGTTCTGACAATGGTTATGGGCCCAGAGATCCAGAGATGGCTGTGTGCTTATCGGAGGACTGTCTCATTGATTGATGAGGTACGTGGCTCTGAGTTCAGCGAGCGCTAATTGCCAGGAGTCGCGGCAAGCACATCAAAGTGCAAGTAGATAAATAGGTACCGCTCCGATGGGAAGGTAAACAGTGTCTTTGTACGCTGCTCTGGTTCGCCAGAAGCGGCTTAGTCATGCTGGCCACAGCAAACGCCAGCTCCCTCGGCCTATAGAGCGAGATGAGCGCGCAACCTCAGAGTCGGTCACGACTGGACCTAATGGTCAGGAGTCCCTTTACCTTTACCTTTATGGAATCCCAAGATTTCTGTCCCTGTATCTGTAAACTTGTCTTTAAAGCAAGTCCTTCTGTGATTTACACCCCAGTCATCTCTGTTTTTCAGCACACTGACACCATGTGCCTGTGATTCTTGAGCTGGAGGCGGCTTCCCTGTGCTGTGTTTTCTCTGTCATAATGGTTCTTATGGCGACCATCAGATTTATAAATGTATGGAGGGAGCCCATCTGGGAATTCTGGCGTTAAGGGCTTCCTGTTCTGGAAAATTACTGCCCTTGGCCAGTAATGAATATATATTAACCATAGATGTACAAATAAAATTAGAGCTCAGTTTGTTTGTGAATTAAATCCTCACAATTCCGGATGGGGATTTGTTTTGTTGAATCTAAAACCTTTCTATACCAGATTCTTTTCAAAATAAATAAATAAATCCTGCACCTGCACTGCTATTGACTGATCTGTTTTCAAATGCCATTACAGCCATTGGGGGGTGCTTTTTCTATATTAGCAGTTTATAGCAAACAAATGCACAGCTGTCAAGACATCTTGCAAAGAAGCACTGGAGTTTCAGGGATGTTGCATCTTCCAAGTACAGTGGGACCTCGGGTTACATATGCTTCAGGTTACATACGCTTCAGGTTACAGACTCCGCTAACCCAGAAACAGTATCTCGGGTTAAGAACTTTGCTTCAGGATGAGAACAGAAATTGTGCGGCAGCGGGAGGCCCCATTAGCTAAAGTGGTGCTTCAGGTTAAGAACAGTTTCAGGTTAAGAACGGACCTCCGGAATGAATTAAGTACTTCACCTGAGGTACCACTGTAGGGCTGTTGCTATTCAGAATACTCTGTGGAGTGTGGTTGCTCGAATGATATAGAAAATCACTGGATAATGCCTGTTGAAAGGTTCATACATGCCTCCACAAATGTGTAAGGGCAGTGCCAGATTTACGTATAAACTAAACAAGCTATAGCTTAGGGCTCCACTCTCTTGGAGGCTTCAAAAAAACTTAAAAGAATAAAACCTGTATGTACATTTCCAAAATATAAGATAAAAAACAAATAAAATAAAACCTACATACAGCAACAGTGTTTTGTTGTGTAGGCTCCTATGATGTAAGCAATGGGTTCCGCCTGATAGCCTGCTCCCTAAAATATCACCGGTTTGCTCATTTCTATAGATAGGGTGCCTACATTCTGTATGAACTTTGCATTCTGCATGGACTTTACAACAATTACTTTGATAAAATACATATTTTGTTATGTGCAAATAGCTTTAGATACATTAGGCCCATAAATTACCATATAGCATATATTCAACACAAAAAACAGCGATAATTTGCTGTAGACAAAGGATGGCTGGACATATAAAGGGTCCCATTACCTTCAGTAGCTTAAAGGTAAAGGGACCCCTGGCAGTTAAGTCCAGTTGCGGATGACTCTGGGGTTGCGGCGCTCATCTCACTTTACTGGCCGAGGGAGCCAGCGTTTGTCCGCAGACAGCTTCTGGGTCATGTTGCCAGCATGACTACGCTGCTTCTGGTGAACCAGAGCAGCACACTGAAATGCTGTTTACCTTCCCGCTGGAGTGGTACCTATTTGTCTACTTGCACTTTGACGTGTTTT